TGGAGCTTTCGTCCTGTAAGTGAAACCAATCCATGCTGAAAAGCCCAAAATCAAAGTACAACTGTTTCATACTTGTTTTGAATCATCAGCAGTGCGCTTACCACGAAAATCCAGGGACTCTCGATACAGTGACCTCCCGGCTTGTGATATGGACAGCTAACCACCCAGTCGTGAGTGGCTGGTCCGCACTGTGATTAACTCGCACTCAGACAAGATACAGCGCCACCCATCCCTCATTCACGAAATGCACATCAAGTGTTCGTGTTCGATTCCTCAATGGGAGGTAGGTTCATTCATTGGGTGAATTTTATTCCTTACAACCCAGCTGGATTTCTCGTTTATGATGTTTTTAAGTAACTGAATGTGCTGCCTCAGGCCACCTCATGTTTCAGTTGACACAATATTCGAGATATCGCGATACATGTACAGACGTAACACACTACTCACTAGGTTGCAACCTTATGAGTAGCGCATTACGTTTGTTCTTTACTCTTTCTTTATCACCCGAGGGTGTAGCCACTTTTCTGGCGTAAATCACGTGGTTGTTTGAATGATGGTGGCTGCAAAGATAAAGTCACAACAGATAGCTGAGGAGCCCTATTTGCGAAATATTTCCCATTGGTGAGCTCCAGTCTTAGACGGTTCACCTTATTAAGCTATGCATATTGGTTCACACGAAACGGAAACAATGATGCGAAGGATAAATAAAGGTTCTGTCAACTGAACACCTTGTAAGGTGGGTCTTGAATCCATATGCTGGACATGAAGCCCTCGATGGCGTCCTAGTTTTTCGAACGTCCTTCTGCCATAGTAAATCAACTTCAAACCAAGAAAACACATCCAAATGTACATATAAAACACTTATCTCGAAGCATTTTTGAATTCATCCAGTACGTAGTTAGGTAGTAATGGTCTGTGCACTTTCACCTCCAACTAAATGATAAGAGTTCAAAACAAAGAGCGATTAAGGATATGCGAAAAAAAACTCTAAACTCTACAAGCTGTTTAAGGAGTACAGCGTAGCACAGAATGTAGAAAAATAATTTCTCTCCATGAGGACTTATCTCGTTCTTCACAATGAAGAAGGAATAGTTTGAGCGTCTATGAAAAGTCAAATACCTCGGGGAATCAAACGTTTTTATCCCGAACCGGACGCGTCTTTTGGAGGAGCTGTCGCTCTTCCCGCTCATGTTAGCAACGGCAAGGATCCCTCTGACGCACCGTATTCCCTCTCTCTCTGCCCCTGTTGAGACATGCGCTACCCCCCTCCACTTGATTCATTTTTATGCAAATCCCAGATGTCTGTTTAGTGATGACCTCAACCTTAGCGTATTAGTGCGATCCATGAGTTGATGTGCCAGGTCAGTGCGTCACATTGCATGGGGAACGCGTCAACAAGCGAATTCAGGTTCAGCTTGAGGACATGTCCCAACGAGAGACCTCACATACTATTCAGCTAATGGTAGTTAGGGCAGGGTTAGAAACAGCGTGGAACTCGTGTTGAACATGTCCGAACACGCCTTCATGTGAGGGGCGTTCCGTCACACAAGTTGTGCGGCCATGGAGACATGACCCTGTCAACTGAGCATCGGTTATGCCGGATACGAAAAACGTGAGAGTTCTGAGGGCAACAGCAAAGCGGACATTTGGAAAACACTGAATCGCTGAACCAGTCCCACCACGCTAGAGTAAACACGTTCACCTGTTCAGAATTGATAACTCAAGTGCGTCCAGTGGGCGCTGATGGAGTAGTGGTATGAGCTCACCTTGCGTGTTCGATCTCCTGGATTTAAATTCGAACACAACCAGGGGTACATACACTGTCGATGAGCTCTAATAGGATTGAAACTTGAGTCCAACACCAGCTAGCTCCCTTTGGTACGGACTCACCAGAATAGCTGCACAGGAAGGCAGGGAGAAGACTGTTCAAATGAGACTTGTGTTAATGGGGATTACTGCTGTTCAAACTGTACTTCCTACAGCGACACCATAGTGCACACAAAAGTATTTGTCTTTACATCTGAAACGACAGAAGAGGGCTGACATTCCATCGGAAGCCCATATCTATATATTGAACGACGGTATCCCAAGGCCAAACCATAGCCACTGTTGCCTCAGGTGGCTCTGCAATTATAGCAGGACGAGGTAAACACACCAAAACCGCTAAGACTGTATACAGTCGTTTTATTTCCAACCGATAGTACACCTGGGTCTTCCTAGATCAAACCTACGCGAAGTGTCACATTTAGCGACACTTCTTGGGGACTAGCTCGTCGAGTTTCATTTTATGTGCTTGCTGTGAGTTGCAATTTCATTTCATTCATTCAGATTCACGGAAGTAGCTAGACAGGTGACCGGATTGTCCTGTTAGTGAGAAACAATGATGTAGGAGAAACAGCCTATTGGCAGGTGAGGAAAGGAACTCATCGTTTCACACAGATTGGAATTTGCGTGTTTTAAGAGTGGTCAACATAATTTATGGTCATCCATTTTGAATTCTGCGTGGTCGAATTATGTCCGACCTAGCGCATAATCAATACTAATCAATACACATTATTATTCAACGTCACGTATACAGTAAATAGCAAGCCGGTGGACAAAAGTCTCCTATTAACTTTGGTCACTCCACAGGCACTTAGACGCTCCTTGTAAGCCCATAAAATCATACTTCAACTGAATTATTCAGCGAGTCCATGTTAGTTTGAAGTGTCGTATCTGACATTTTGTTGGCCAAGGCGGAGGGAATAACACCTTACATTAGTTTGAGAGGAGGGTAATGTGTGCGCACTGAGACTCACTTGTGAATAGCAAATCCAAGCCCGACATACCGTTCGATGAAGCATAATGCCCACTGTTATTGTAAGATTGTAAAAACAAGACAATAATCTCAATAACTCTGGTGGACTTCTCTACTACTCTTGAAAACTGACCAGAAACCCCATAATCACACTCGCCCCTGGCCAACCAAATTGACCGATTTATATCTCACAAGTTAGTTACCTCCTGTTAAGGATATCTTGAATTTACGTGAGGAAGGGTTACCTTAGAACCGAACTTCAGCCAAGTCACTCTAACACAGTACTGCTACTACGCGCGGATTGTCGTATTAGGCACTAAGAAACAAAAAACTGAGTAATAACTCAAAATCAGCTGAAATCCAGAGGCGCCCCTTGAGGTTCGAGCTTGGCTGAAGCATCAAGCATGCTGTGAAACCCTCCAATAAAGCCGCCTATTTCGTTAGTTCTTGTGGCACAGAGCTATGCAGCTCACCGGGAAACCTCGTCCATGTTCATGTTTCCGGATACATAAAAAACCCTGCCACACCTGATCCCCCATTAGTCCAAGGTCACAGAGACTACCAATCTCCATTTCCTCGTCTTCCAACCAAATATGAGAGTTCATGCACTCATTCCCCAGCTTCAAACACATGCCTCGAGAGCGCAGTTTTGGTGATCGTTCAACTGTACGACAGGTCGATAGCTGTTGTGACCGCGAGTTTTAAGAGAAGTTATTGCTCACACCAAACGTCACCTATCCTCAAGGCTCTGATTTGTACTGTACAAAACGCGCGTTGCAAAATCCCCGCGAAACCCCAGACCAACCTAGCGAATAACGTTCGACTGAAAAAGTTCTACGGATACGGTGAGTGATAAATTCCATTCCTGTTTTACTGTGCGTTGCTATTACAGCAAAACTGAACACATTGTGCTACCTAACCACCCAGGCGTCACTCATCGTCAGCGAAGAACATTCAGTGCAGCACTGTAATTTCAGCTGAGAATAAGTTCCCGGAAGTGTAACATTCCTCTCTGGTCAGAGTACTTAGTTCACTGGGTATACGCAGGCCATTGGGTTTTTTGAGTCCTGGTTTCCTGTTTTTCTGAGTCGCACATGGTATTCAACTACCTCCAACTAATACATCCTGAGGGAAGCGATTGAGTTGATCTGCCTACAGAATTCGCAGTTAACGTTAATGATGCTGACAGCCAAGGAACTCCTGCAAACTTTATGGTGTCCCAATAAAAGCCCTTTGTGCTCAATCCAGACTGTTTAAGTCAGCTACAACAAAGAATACCACCACATACACAGAGTGCCCTCCATCGGGAGAACAGTAGTAGTTTGAGTTTTGCCACTTTATTTCTGAATGTTGCCGGGACAAAGATGGTGTGAAAGTTACTTTTGTGATTTCGGAGACACGCGGGAAACCAGAATTCCTTTCGTTAAGAATTCTTCCTTGGAAACTCCATGACAGCGGTATCCGAATGGCCCACGATCTTCCAAGTGAGCCACGTTGAAAATTGTGACGCTAAAGAAAGATGGAATGAGCGACTGGATTTGTACCAATTTCAGAATAGCCCTAACCCCAAAAACGAGGGAGATGTAGTTCGACGACGTTGAAACCGGAAGAAGTAACAACTTTTTATCTAAAACTGTCCCACTGAATGAAAATTCCAAACTTTTAACGATGATTGATGCACCATGCGGGTTGTATCAGCTCAGCTTACTCCCATTTGGTCCACACATATGCCTTATGTATTCCAAACGGCTATAGGCTACATGTCCTAATGCTGATGTAGAACAAAACAAACAAACAGTTCTACCCATTAGGTGTTTTAGATAGAAACGTCTTTGCCGAACCGTGTACAACAAGTGGCATACGTGGAGGTCTGGATTTCCTCTGGCGCATAGATTCCTCATCCTGATTTGCTCAGATATGGGGGTAAATCTCCAAGCAATATATCCCCGCTCCGTCTACGACTGAGGTTACTCCAAAATTAATCTCTATTCACCCCTAAATTTCCCGTGAAAGCACAGTGTCCATTCGCGGGTCAGCATTCTGGTGCTGGTTATCTTAATGCGGAAAAGCTCCATACACTCTGGTAAGGGAGATCGCAAAATGTCCTAACCGTCAATCGTTTTCCTCGACTAGACCTGGCGCATTTTTGACTTATACGCTCCCTGTTATTCTTGGGGTAGCATTCGGACAAGAGTCGCTTGGGTTATTTGCCTGTCTGGGCACTGGCAGTTGGTATTTTGCGAAGTGAACCAGTTCGTCTGATCTCAGGATAACGAATTTTCAACCGGAGTACCCATAAAATCAGCCAAACAGCGGAGCTGACAGGAGCTTCCACATATTCACTCTCAGGCTGCATTTCTACTGGGGGACTAAGGGAAACGGCTGTCGTGTTTAGCAATCCTAGTGACTTCACTACAAAATGGAATAGTGTAAGCAGGTGGCCAGGTGGTTGGAATGGGCATGGTAACCGGGTTTACATCGGTTGAGTAAACCGTATGTGGGATATGTCGTAGCGTGCGCTAGGGTTCCATATTTAAAGATACGCGTTATCTGTAGGTTTTCCCTGAACAGAACTACACGGGTGGGCAGCGGTTCAACTCTGTTGCACAGATCTTCAAATAAACTTCGTATGATTTGTGGTGCACTGTTGCATTTGGGGGGAAATGTAGTCTGTCAGAGCCTTTCAATTTGGAATTTTGTCCTTTTTAGAGGTTCACTGGCCCATTTGAAGTGCGCCACACTAACATTCAACCGGACGATGACATTAGCCGTGACGCTCGTCAGTTGGTTTGATGCACCATTTGAAAGCCTGTTATTTGTTCAACTGGAAAACTTTCCTCCATATTTCATCTTCCTCTCTTGATTCCTATTGAGTTTGACTGGAAGGAAGCTGGTTTGAAAGAAAGAGGACGACATCGCCTCAGCTATGTTTTCTGTCCCATCTCCCAGTTGATGATTCCTGCTTCCTTTCACGTCAGTGGCTGGCGTTTCCCAAGCTCCAACAGGACTGCGTGCCATAACCCAAATTGAATCTTTTCCACATAAGTCCCGCCACTAATCCCAAAAGTGCATGTGCGAACAGTTAATCCCCGCCAATTTTTGCCAGCTAAAATTTAATGTACGCACACAACCTTGACCCATTTTTCATGAAAACAATTCCTTAACCCAATCTAGGCTCATTTTGTGCAAAAATGTTCTCCGTTCAGAAGTAAAACCTGAAATGAACTTTCTGACGCTTTTAACTCTCGTTCATGACAAGGAGACGGCAATACGTTTTTCGCAAAGCCGCGGAGTGATCCATCACCAACGTTTATGCAACAATGGCCACTACATGACACTCTCAACTGCTTCTGACAGGTGTAGGTTTAATGCCCGACAGTGTCAGCACGAAATCGGTCTTCGAAAGGGAACTTGGCTGGAGCAGTCCAGGATGGAGTTTGGGACAGTAATTCTGTTCATTTATCGTTGGTCCCAAAATTTGGCGAAAACGATGATTGACATGAATCATACTCATGAAACGGTTAATCATACCGAAAACTTTATGGATCCAATGACTGGAGCTCACACACAAACCATCGAATCTCTTTGGCACGTGTACAAGATGCAAAATAAACGCCAATGTGGCACGCACCGATCTTCAGTGGACAGCTACTTGTGTGAGTTCGTTTGGAGGCAAAGGTACCGAAAAACGGATCTTTTCATACAAATTAATAATGACATGACCCAATTTCACCCTCTTCAATAAAAACTAAAAGTACAAATTTCATATCCCACTTTTTCTAATCTTTTCAGTGTGGCAGGTTTAATTTTTGGCGAGGCCTATCTGGAAAGGATCCGAAAAAAGTTATTATATGCTGAGAAGCCGAGATGTACTAAACAATCGTTTTATCCTAGCCTAGCACCACTAGCTCTATACCAGCACCGGACCTTTTGGATACGTATGTTGTTCTCTAATTAATTCCATATGACATTTTACTGTCCAGTTTCTGCTTGTAATTAGCGAGGTCAGTCTTATGTGAAAGAAGCCAACGTGTCATTGATGCTGTTGATCGTGAGGTGATTTAATTTCATCGTTTCCGCTCATAGCTATGTTCGTTCACATGAGAAAGGATAGGGTGGTACTACACTGCCACAAGTGAATTTTGCGAATAGTTTCATACGCCCACTCAGGTTTCTAAAAGTGGTACCGTTTCAAAAACTCCAACAAATAATCTTCCATATCCAGTCACTCCCATGTTCACTTACGAAGGTGTGCCTTCAACCAACCATGCGCATGCACTGTGCTCTAGCTAGGCCTAATTGATTGTTCCAATGTTCCGGGCGCGTTGGCATTCATTGGTAGAGCTAACTAGTTTCCACCCTGTAAGTGGCACTTGTCTATCCTGGGAAGGTGTTTTATCATTGTTCAGCTTCATCAGTGGCGTGTGATTAACAAATCTCGGGAAATATTTGAACCAGCAAATTTCCGGAAATGAGTTCGGATTCCAATTATCTGACTGGCAGCGATTGAATTGCAGTTTTCGAGGCAGAGCACCACTCATCCATTCATCACGTAATTCGCGTCACGTGATCTGATTGTTCAGCTGCCAATTAAGTGACAACTGCTCGAACGGAGACATGTCATCTGTAGGATGTCTGTTTGTGAGCAGATTACTTATAAATTTATTAGCTTCAAAGCTTTGAAGTTTTAAATCTGAACTGCATTCTCAAACAGAGAGACAATACGCACAAATTTGTGAAATGGGCTGATGACTGCCAACATAGATGAAGCAGCATTTCAGTAATTTCCAACCTTGCAGCACAGACTGACTTCACTTGCAAATGCTATTCAGTCTGCTAAGAAGGGTCATTTTCTCACTAGAGTGGAACCTGTCTTTGATGAAAATCCCATAAACACTATATAGTTGTTTCATCCTTGTTGGGGGCCATCAGCAGTGAGCATCTCATGAAACTCAGAGTGCCAAACCCGTGACCTTCCGGTCAGTGGTTGAACACCTAATCGTTTGGTTGATTAGCAGTGTGATTAGCTCCCAGTTGGACAGGCCATAGCAGCACTCATCCTTCAGTCATGGGAGACACATCACGTGGTCACGTATTGAATGGCTTCTCGAGTGATGACTTCTCAATCGGCCCCATACTTTTCCCAATCTGTCGGAGTTTGTTCAGACTCAAACGAAACTCGTCAATTCCTGATACTTCTTCCAAGACATGGCTCAGTAGGTTGCTGGCTCCCAAGGTGACGTGCATTATGTATTTGTTCTTAAAACATCTTGATCACGCTGTCATCAAGAACCTCGATTTTTTTATTTGTCTCACAGTGTTCTCGTCGGTTTTCAGAGAAACAACAGATTTGGTGGTCTATGCATTTGTGTAAATTAAAATGCAAGTAGTAGAACGTGTGACTTAGTAGAAGGGTGCGAATGAGTTTATGAGGAGTCTGGGCTTTGTTGTTACGGTTCGCCATCCAGGCTCATTCTGTGCAAAAAATTTTCTCCGTTCGGACGTAAAACCTGAAATGAACTTTCTGACGCTTTGTACTCTCGTTCATGACAAGGAGAGGGCAATACGTTTTTGCAAAGCCATGGAGTGATCTACCAGCAACGATCATAAAACAATGGCCACCAAATGATACTTTCAACTGCTTATGACAGGTGTAGGTGTAATGCCCGACAGTGTCAGCACGAAATCGGTCTTCGAAAGGGAACTTGACTGGTGCGGTCTAGGATTAGACTCATGAAACGGTTAATCATATCGAAACCTTTGTGGATCCAACGACTGGAGCTCACACACAAACCATCGAATCTCTTTGGCACGTCTGCAAGATGCAGAATAAACGCCAATGCGGCACAGTGGACAGTTACTTGTGTGAGTTTGTTTGGAGGCAAAGGTACCGAATAACGGACCTTTTCATGCAAATTATTAATGACGTGTCCCGATTTCACCCTCTTCAATAAAAACTAAAAGTACAAATTTCACATCCTCTTTTTTCTGATCTTTTTGGTTGGTGTGTGTCAATTTTTTACCAATTGAGTGGTCTGTGATCTCATCTTTATTGGGGGTGGGAGACAAGTGGACATCGTTCCCATTTTACATTCGGTGTTGAAACTGGACGATTATACAAGGCTAAAATCACTCAACAAGTGGTTAATATGTTTTCGAAGTGATAATGCCAATAGACTAAACGCCAATAAAGTCGACATTACGAGGCCGTATACACAACAGGACAACTGAACATACGGAATTGGGCCCGGGATAGGTGATAGATAACCAGAGAAGAGTTGAACGATTCATGTTTGAGCAATGGCTAATAATTTATACCATCTGGTTAGTTTTACTTGGCTCCGGAAGATGATAACTCAGCTCTGCTGTTTTAGGTAAAACACAGAACGCCGTAGAACCTGACTGCAGATAAACATCTGATACCTACAGCAGTTCCCTGTGTAAAACCAACCATCCGTGGTTTTCTTTGAAACATTACGTGCTTCCCTTCGTATTCCATGAAAGTCTCCGCTGCGCGGAAAACACAGGCCTGTGGACATAAAACAGACTAATTCATATCATCATTGTAACCAGAACTATACTGTGTTTGTGCGTAGCCCGGAAATCAATTGAGGTGTTTAAAGACATACTTGGTACAGCGGATTCAAAAACATGTATCGCTTTTCCAATGAGTTTATCCCCAAATCTAGTGGGCTTTACTCCGATATCTGACGCATCATCCATCGAAGTTACTTGACATCCATTGATTTTACCAAGGCGATAGGTTTTGTAGAACTTACTCTTCAGATTCGTCTACTGTAACTCATTTTTCCCTTCGTATGCCACAAAAGTAACCTCTCTTCACAATAGTTTCACTCAGAGAACCGTCCTAACTAAAGTACACAGTAACGACTGAGAGACACTGTACAGCTACCTAAGCCCTGGCAATGTTGCAACTCGCCCACTGGTGATGGCTCCTCGATTGTTAACGAAACGTTTGAAATCTAAACACCAGGCTCGCCGACCCAACTGCCAACCACATTTCACCCCTGTTGTGAATCATCATCAAGGCACATTGCGGGCGTGTTGTAGTAGATTCCAGTTGGAGTGCGAACGCTTGGTCAAGCTGGTGAACAGCAGAATGACTAACTTTCTCCAAAACGGACACAGCCCCTCATCCTTCAGTCTTATCACTTGATCTTATATCTAACATCTTTGTGAACGGCGACGACTGAGGGGAAGCCTCTGTTGCTTGTGGATGATCTTTTCTACACAGACTATCCGTATTTTGTAAGCAGAGAACAGATTTCGTAGTTTCGATTGTGGATTCCCGCCACTTATGCAAAAAGTGCATGTGCGAAAAATTAAGCCCAGCCACCTTATGCCAGCTACAGTTAAATGTACGCACACAACGTCGACCTATTTTTCATGAAAACAATTCCCTATCCGCATCTAGGCTCATTTTGTGCAAAAATGTTCTCCGTTCAGAAGTAAAACCTGAAATGAACTTTCTGACGCTTTTAACTCTCGTTCATGACAAGGAGACGGCAATACGTTTTTCGCAAAGCCGCGGAGTGATCCATCACCAACGTTTATGCAACAATGGCCACTACATGACACTCTCAATTATGTATGACAGGTGTAGGTGTAATGCCCGACAGTGTCAGCACGAAATCGGTCTTCGAAAGGGAACTTGACTGGTGCGGTCTAGAGACTCATGAAAATCGGTCTTCGAAAGGGAACTTGACTGGTGCGGTCTAGGATTAGACTCATGAAACGGTTAATCATATCGAAACCTTTGTGGATCCAACGACTGGAGCTCACACACAAACCATCGAATCTCTTTGGCACGTCTGCAAGATGCAGAATAAACGCCAATGCGGCACAGTGGACAGTTACTTGTGTGAGTTTGTTTGGAGGCAAAGGTACCGAATAACGGACCTTTTCATGCAAATTATTAATGACGTGTCCCGATTTCACCCTCTTCAATAAAAACTAAAAGTACAAATTTCACATCCTCTTTTTTCTGATCTTTTTGGTTGGTGTGTGTCAATTTTTTACCAATTGAGTGGTCTGTGATCTCATCTTTATTGGGGGTGGGAGACAAGTGGACATCGTTCCCATTTTACATTCGGTGTTGAAACTGGACGATTATACAAGGCTAAAATCACTCAACAAGTGGTTAATATGTTTTCGAAGTGATAAGGTCTGCTAAATATTTTGACCAGATGGTTAATTTCATCATTCATCCAAAAGGCTCCAACGGCTGTTGGTGTCTATCAGATAAACCATTTATACGGAATCTGCTCAGCTTGGTTCGAGATCGAGATCGAATACGGGTTCAATGAGGCAACAGTTTGAGTGGCCGGTAGCCCGCTATCTGAAAAGTATACCTGAAATGATTAATTGTATTTCACAGTAAGAAACAGTACCAGCAGGTGTACTTCGTTGAAAAGAGATCCCAATGTTCACAGCAAATATTTAAGACCTGATGCGTTTCCATTTGGATCACCAGTCTAGTTCACCTAAAAGTCCGATGCACGAAGTTGCCCAACATCCAGAATGTGCTCAGTTGCACTCAAACTAGTTGAATAGAATGTCTGCTGCAGCACTACAGTGCCTTCGTATACCTCATTTACAATTTCCAGACATTTCTATCTCCGGTGGGCTGGTGAATTGTTGTAAATCACTACTGTTCAACTCACAGGCAATCATCCCCTTTGCAAATTTCACAACTCTGATAGGCCATTAAACATAGTTCTGCCCTGAGTGTGATCTTTCTTCATTTTGCCCATTGGTAATATTTTACTTGAGCATAGCTCCAACTGTCCCTTTGTTTTTAGTGAGTTTTACACAGATGCTAACGCCCGGGAGTGTATTGACATTTCACTCTGACGTTTGATTCACCTAACCAAACTGGAAACTTCCTCCACTTTCAACCTCCATTGTGTTTCAACATGCAATGGACGGAGGACTTTCGTCCATGGATTCCTCTGGAGATGAGAGAAAATGGATTGTTCGGCCCGATGACCAGAAAGTTTCCAAAACTATGTAAACACAAATTGACATTCATTCCAGCACTATGGACAAGTTATTCTCAGACAAACCAAGTAGCTCATTGATTTTCTTCTCTGTAAACAATCGCTCTTATCCCCTAAGTCATATTTGACTTCTTGGACAATTCCGCCTTCTTCAGGCCCAAAAATACTCTGTGCAGAAGTTGATGCAACTGACTTTCATCAGCCCAGTTCGTCGCCATTCTGAAGAATTGCGGTGATGCGATCGGAAATCTCTACCATGTTTTCTAAAATTGGGCACTTATGGCCAATCCTATTCAATGTCTCTTGAAAGGTTGCGAAATAAGCAAGTTACATCTCAGAGGCGACCGAATTTCTCACCCTGTGTGAGAAATGCGCGGAAAACACCTTTGGGAAAAATGCGAAAGTGACTGTTTACTGGTGGCGTCCTTACGGTTCCTAGCTCGATGAAATGCATAAACGTAAGCTTCATTTCTCCTCTACCCAATAGGAGAACATTGTCGCTTGGAGACCAAAAGAACCGTCTTCCAACCAATCACTCCCTATACTGGTGGCATTGTTTATTCGAAAACCCGTTTGCCCGTTGATTTGTGTAGTGGACGGGGCAAGCAGTTCCGTACTTTTGGTGGACCTGTGACTGTGTTATCGCGGTCAAGGTCGACGGAAAATTCGGGTTTTTGGTGAATCCAGTCATCCAGTATCACGACAATAAGCTCACATATTTGTAATGGGGTCATGTGGTTATGCTCCAGAGATGGACGAAACCAACACAACTTGAAAATGTCTGGGCTCTGACTCAGCGGTAAGTGCATAGGACATTTAATCGCGCGATGTTGAAATGGCTAATGTGGCAGTCTCGACGTCTGATGCACGGCCCACACCAATCGACAGTAGATAACCTTGCCCAGTACGCATTGTCGATTATTACGTTCCTGGCACACTGGACATTCAGTGTAACAGCAGCAGACACAGCCAATGAAATTTGCGGAACAGGGACTGAGCACCACAAGATAAAAAGTTGTGATCAGAAACAGCAAATATTAAAAGTAACAAAAAAACGCAGCCATGGGGTGGAAGCGGCTTTTCAGAGTAATCGAACTGATTGTGAACAGTGATTACTCCTTGGGGTTGGTCTCTATTCAGAAATGGTTTTGAACTAAATCGCTGCTGACAAGGAACCTTGTTGGACTCGCTCCATATTAGCCCTTCCCAGGAAGGGTTTTCTTCAAAGGTGTCATTTTGAATTGTCCAAGGTGTACAGTGGAACTCTGTTACGAAAGGAAAACGGTTAGCATGACAAAAAGTCCGTTATGAGGAGAATGGGACTCAATCTTTTGCCAACTAGTTCCCAAGCAATGAATGGATTCTCAGTGTCTCATTTGAAACTCTATTATGAAACAGAAAGCAAGGCGTAATAATTCACGAATGAAAGTGAAAAGATTTCATAAAATTGGATATCACGTCAACTGATTTTGTGATATTATTCAATGTACGGTACTGTTCAAGTGAGAATCAAGTGCAAAGCAGAAGTTGAAGGAGGAGTAGAGGGGGTAGGAGTAGTAGTTGGTTAGCTGACCCACCTCCTCATGGTACCCACTGGGCAGCGCGAACGTCATTCAGCAACTTCGGATGGGACCAATTACCTTGTTTGGCTTCAACCTACTGGTTACTTTCGACAATGGACAACACGATCCAGTCTTCGCACCAGATCAAGCTAGTACACAGGAGGTATTGATGGGACTCACGTATGAAGACTGTCGCAAGTGCTGAAGAGAGAGGACTTGTTTGTAGCCCAGCGTCTAAGTCACCTTCGTGAAGTTATTGACGAGGGGGGTGATTGTCCAGTTGGCTTGTACTTATTGTTTCCGTCGGTTTCCGACGGAGGATGGAGTGCATCAACGCCGTCTATCCGTGCACCCTACTCAGCGTAAAACAAATACGCTTGATCGAGTGATAACTTCCGGTTCCGTTGGTCCCATCAAGAGTCATAGTCATCCTTCTGTTGGGCTGACTAGTTACATGCGTCTTCTGATACGTAACCGTGCAGTTCGCGAAGCTAGAATAATATTTTCCCGGTCGATTGCCTATGAATATCAAAGGCAGGTTTCGTGTGCTCAGCTGAAAAGCACACCTGAGCGAATCGCCATGTAGTGACACCGAGCAAACCATTAGTCAAACGGCTCTACATTTGACGAGCTCTGGAGCCTCCCCCATCTGGTTCAAACAAAGCGTGGATTACACCGTGTCACTGTTGGAGTCCAACTCTGACAGTTCACTGGTCTATGTTGATCTTTTAACTTCTACCCGATGGTTGTAACCCGGCAAAATGACAACGGAGCAGGTCCTTTCGGTTCCGAACTTTCATGCATCAAAGACATTTCCATGCAGGTGAAACTGCCTCTCGACGCAGTCGCCAGCAAGCTTATCGTGCACCGGCCAACCGGAAAAAGAATCACCGGGCCAGCTTAGCCACCATCCAGACCTTATAGCACCAGCGGCGGAAAGATGCAGTATGAGCCGTGCTCGATGGGTCATGGAAGGAATTATGCAAAGGAAGATGCAGCCTACCTTCAAATGTCGAGCAGTACTGGATACAGGTGCTGCCTACCCCCATATTTGTGGATAGCAGGTCAATGCAGACAGTATTGCCATCAGATTGGAGTTGGCCATTGGAAGTTGGTCATACGATCCGCTGGGTGGGTGGCACGTCTCCGGGTTTGAACAAGACCAGGCTTAGACTCTTTCTTAGGTTCATTGCCAATGCTCTCCCCTGGTGTTTCAGCTTACCCCTATAACCTGGGATTCATCGCCGCAGTTGTATCATGCTCGGTTTATTTTAGTTCTGAAGGTTCCATCCGAGACCAACTTTTTGTCGCTTTTTCTTGTTTAATGGTTTAATAAAGTACTTGCTGATCACTGGAGCAGTAGACTGCAACTCCCTGCACTTCACCCTGCAGTTCTACATAGAGTTTGGAAGTTGCCTCGTTGCTACACACTTGGTTTCATCACTCTTAAGCGAACGCCTCGAACTTCAGTTTGAAGTACTCTGGCATTTCGAGCTGAACCACCTCCTCGTGGTGCCGACCGGGTAGCCTGGACGTCTGTCTGGGTGAGCTAAGAGTTCAGCAACTCCAGACAGGGCCAACCACCCCGTTTGGTTTCAATGTGCTGGTTACT